ACACGAAATGTACGAAGTCTGGATGTTCCATTGTACAAAACAGCTACTGGACAAAGAACATTCCATTATCGAACTGTCACTCTTTGGAACAACATTAGCCTTGACTTAAGTCGGTGCAATTCTATTTCAAACTTTAAGTTAAAACTAAGACATAAACTTCTCCAGCAATTCCTGGATAGTTATTAAGTACTTGTTTTTCAGTAGTTAATCAATAAGCGTTGTCGATGTTACTGTTGTTGTGTTATCACCATCGCTGTTGTTGTGGTTCTTGTTGTTGATGTCCCTGTCGTTGTTTTTGTGAAATTGTCCTTGTTTGCTAGTAATGTGTTTCAATAACATTGATTAGGACTAAATGTAGTAATAATACAGTAAGTTTATGTGTTTGTAATTTTTGTCACTGAAAAGCCCCTTCAGGGGAGTGTCAATAATGTCAATAATCAATAATTCTCAATCATTCAGGCCATGAATTACCAAAAAACATGCTTACCCCTCGTTTAAGGAAATTTTACTAAATCTGAGGAATTTTTTACCGAGAATCTAAGGAATTCCAGGCAATGGAAATAAGAGCACTGTTCTGAAATTTAATAAGGAAAGTAATAGGAAAACGCCGTTCGAAAGACGAAAAATTGTTGTTTTTTTAATCTACGCTACCGACGGCTATTTTTGGAATGAATTCTTCAAGAGTAACGGTAAGGGATCACTTTTATTGATTTCCTTTTATTAAAAGTGTTAACATAACATTTTATTTAGCAAAAGTTTGTTTTCCCCCCCTATCTTCATAGGCGTACGGGACGGGGGAGGCAGCTGCCCCCCCCAAAAAGATTACAAAGTCGAAAAGTCGGGCAAATATTCAACAAAAGTCGGGCAAAAGTGGGGGGAAAATTAGTGATGAAATGCAATGAAATCTCTCTTAATAATAACCCCAGTTTGTTGGTCAAACAAAGCCAGTTGGGCAATATTCGCTTCACAGTCGGGCAATATTGGGTTATTATAAAAATAAATGGCACAAATTCAGCCAATTTTGCGTGAAATTATGTAAATTTTGTGATGTTTGGGGAAATTTGTTTGATGTTCCGAAAAATTGAAGTAAGTGCGAAAAATTTTTGGACCCCTAAAATGGTACACTGACCACAGGCGGCCCAATCTCGCAAGGGTCAGTATAGATTTATAGTATAAATGTATATTATATTAATGTATATTATAGTAAAAATATGTCATAAAATATAAATTTTAAAATGAAATTGACTTGCCTATTTGATAGTGTGTGTTCTCCTTTTGTTCCTCCTTTGTTGGACTAATATATAATAATCGCAGGCTCGGGGAACGAGATTGTTGTACTCGATGTTACTAGTATACATGAAACATGATAAAGGCTAACGATTCCCGATCGTCGATACGACGGCACGGCACTTCGAATCGAAAATTTTCACACTCAAATCGCTTTATTCTCCAAAAAAATTCGCCAGCATGTACAACAAATGCCGTTCTTCGAAAATACAGAGGTACTTTGGCGAGATGTACAAGTTTTGGACCATATTTTAACAATGGAAATCAAAACCCATTTTATATTGAACTTACCCGGACCGAAAATTACTACGGCGAACGTCTGCGCAACCAGGCCTCCTTTACCGTTGGATTTACAGGGGGGGAGGATGCCACTAATATACTCACGATAATATTTCGAATTAAAGTATCATATTCTACCGTGCTTTCCAACAAAGAGCCGCTGTATATTACTTCTTCCTTAAATTTCTTCAATCTCCGTCGTTTAGTTTTCTTTTCTTCGACAACATCTCGAGTTTTATAGTCTTTATACAGTATCCGATCCAGGGTCTTAGCTAGAGGGCCGTGTTGGCCGTGGTATCGCGGCCAAAAGTGGAAAAACACGGCTAGATAAAATTAACGCGGCTTTACTATTTTTATATAAGGCCGTGTAGGTTCATAAAATAAGGTGGTGCTACTTACAACAGACAGAATTTCTTCCTATTTACGTCGTAAGAAAGTTTGTAAAATCTACTGTTGTTGTTGAATTGGCAAAAGTGATCCGTGATGTTTTAATATTTTGATGGTAATGGGAACTGTATGGTGTTAAATGGTTTTAAATACCCCCAAGAGTTGCTGAAATAACTTAATATTTTAATGTCAGTGCACAATATGAGCGTATGCTCGCCTTGTATTTGGTTGCAAAGCGTAGAACAACCACAAGCATAGTTGTTGTTGGCGAGCATATAAACTAGAACCGTGATTTTGCTATTCAAAGTAATTGACATGTGCACACCCTGGCCATTAGAAACACGCCCAAAATCTAAAATCCTAGCTAAGACCCTGATCCGATCATGATCCGATCGGAGTTTTTATTTTGAATATCAAATTTCAAATAATGTATAAAACAGTCGCTATCGCGGCCGCGATTGGCTGGCTGTTACCGGAAATATCTGCTTCCCCCCCTGTAAATCCAACGGTAAAGGAGGCCTGGTTGCGCAGACGTTCGCCGTAGTAATTTTCGGTCCGGGTAAGTTCAATATAAAATGGGTTTTGATTTCCATTGTTAAAATATGGTCCAAAACTTGTACATCTCGCCGAAGTACCTCTGTATTTTCGAAGAACGGCATTTGTTGTACATGCTGGCGAATTTTTTTGGAGAATAAAGCGATTTGAGTGTGAAAATTTTCGATTCGAAGTGCCGTGCCGTCGTATCGACGATCGGGAATCGTTAGCAATGACAAATCATGTTTCATGTATACTAGTAACATCGAGTACAAAGTCTCGGAAAATATTAGTCCAACAAAGGAGGAACAAAAGGAGAACACACACTATCAAATAGGCAAGTCAATTTAATTTTAAAATTTATATTTTATGACATAGCGAAAAAAAATTGCCCGACTTTTCGTGATTGTGCCCGACTAGTACCAAAAAAATTTTTCCGGAACTATTATTTTGGCGACCTCCCACCTTCCCCCGTCGCCAAAAAATTTTTGGTCAGTGTACCATTTTAGGGGTAAAAAAATTTTCCGGACATACCAAAATTTTTCGTAACATCGCACAAATTTTCCAAAAAAAAATACATTTCCCACAAAATTAACAAAATTTTCGACAAAATTGACAGAATTTGTCCCATTTATTTTTATAACTAACCAAAATTGCCCGACTGTTGATCGAATATTGCCCGACTGCCCAAAAAACTGGGGGGCTACAGCCCCCCCCCGCCCGCCTATGATTAATATAATATACTTATATACATTTATACTATAAGTCTATACTGACCCTTGCGAGATTGGGCCGCTTGTGCACTTACCGAAATTTTTGGGGGGCGAAGCGAACGCCGAAGGCGCGAGACCATCTAGGGGTGTTTTGAAATCTAGAGTCCCTGAAATGCGATTTCAAGCATTTTGGGGGTGAAATCTTGCAGAATTCCGAAGATTATAAAGTACCTCGAAGACAAAGTTTCCCAGACATTTCTAATTTTCTACTCGGAATTAAATAAATTGGAAAAGTCACCTTGAAAAACAGGAGGAGCTGGTCAGCGTCACCTTATTTCCCGTCTGTGATGCTGGGGGAAGAAAATCCCAATGTGATTTTGATCAGAAATGTTGCACTTAAATCATTCTAGGTTCTGTTGTGTTTATATTATAACCTCGAATCGAACACACGCACGCACTTGTGTGCAATAATAATGTAATGTGATATTAAGAAATAACTATTATATACAAGCATAAGGTAATTAGTTTAAGATGTAATACGATACTGTATCTAAGGACACTACATCCCTCCCCTTCTTTATAAAATGTTTTTTCTTTTAAATCTAAAAATGTTGGTTAACGATTATCAGTTCATAGTTGTCAATAAACTAAAATTGTGCTACGTTTCAAAATGTATATATTGTTGCGTTCGCATAACCATAGCGTTCCGGCTGTCTTGGTTGTCGAGAGGATCTCCTCAGTGGTGGCGAAGGCGGTTGTGAAGGTTGGTAGGGATGAGCCGATAAGGAAAATTGCCGATTACTGAGGCCGATTATTTATAAGCCGATTATCATAACTAATCGGCCGATTAATCGGTACCTGCCGATTATTTTAAAAAGCAAGAGAAAAATCACAAGATGACCAACAATGAAGTCGTAAATGTGGTTTTATTGTTTACAGTACACATTAAATCAGCTTCAATCTCGCATGTCAACAGTCAAAGTTTAGTTTTGGCAGATTATGATGTAAAACAGGATATTGTCAGCTTTATGCGGAGCTAGTCTGCTGCGTTTTTCAGTGGAAATGTTCCCAGCCTCACTGGACAAGCGCTCCAAATATATGCGTTTTATTAGAAATATCAGGGATTCGTTTAAGCCAATCAGAAAACAGAATATGGTATGACTCAACCACAGAATAACAACTCAAAGCATAGGGATGCATTGGTGTTTATAACTGCTTTTTTAATGACTTCCTCAAAGCCACTCACGTGAGACAAAAGACGTGGGTTTTGAGACAAAAGACGCAGGTTTTGCAACAAAATGTGAAAATCTATTCGCTTGTATTCACTATTTTAGCATGTGCTTGGCAGCTGCAGAAAAAAGTCTTATGGCTGATTACTTGCCGATTATCAGACAATAATCGGCCGATTACCGATTATTTAAAAAATGGCCGATTAATCGGCTTTGCCGATTATTTACCGATTAATCGGCTCATCCCTAAAGGTTGGGTGTTTGTTTCAGGTGGGTGGTCTTCGTCGTCGGAGGTTTCGAGATGAACAGGGAGATGGGGTATTTTCTTAAAGAAGGAGGAATTGCGCGTTACTGTTCTGAGCCTGTTTCTTGCGGTGATCATCGAGTTCTTAACTGGTACAACGCGGAATGGCTCAGGGTCAAATGGTGTGGACAGTTTATTCAATTTCGGTCGTCGCAGGAGGACAGTGTCGCCGAGGGTGATGTTGTTTGGCTTGGCACGATTTCGTTTGTCGCTGTATGATTTCATGGTTGATTTGTTCTTTTCGTCTCGACTACGTATCTCCTCATCTTTCTCGGAGTTGCTTGTGGTTGATGGGGAATCTGGAAGGTGAGTTTTTAGCTTTCGGTTATTTAGTGCTTCGCTGGGGGATACGGAGATGGTGCTATGTGGTGTGGCACGATACTGGCGAAGGAAGGTATACATGGCTTGTTTCCAGTTCCGACCTTCAACAGTGGCAGCTCGAATTGCTTTCTCAATAGTTTTCATGAAGCGTTCAGCTTCGCCGTTGGCTCTTGGCCAGTATGGGGTTATCTTACGGTGCTTAAAACCGTGGTGGTTGGCAAAGTTCTCAAACTCTTCACCATTAAATGGAGGGCCATTATCTGACTTGAGAATCTCAGTGTTAATTTCGACTTCCGGGTATCGACTGTATTCATCAATCACGACTATCAGGTATTAGTATAAACCTACTAGTAGGCTATCATATATCGTGCGTTCTGACGCCCAGGGGCGGATCTAGTATTTTTCAAACATAAGTCGAACGCCGAAGACGTGAGACATGCTAGGGGGGTCTGGGGGCATTCCCCCCCCCCCCGGAAAATTTTGAAATCTAGAGTCTCTGAAATGCGATTTCAAGCGTTTTGGCGGTGATATTTTGCAGAATTCCAAAGATTATAAAGCACATCAAGGAAGCACATGCTTTTTTTATGATCTCACAAACGTGCCTTCTCCCAGTCCTCGGAATTAGATTTACTAATGGAGGGTCATATTACAAAACACATCATGTAGTTTCAACTTTCAATAGCCTTTGAGTTTGGCTCATGAAATCCTTCGCAAATTGAAGTGATATGATACC